GAAGAGGTATAGTCTGCGGACAGGCATGGGAATATCAGGAAAAATATGTGGCTAAATGAGACCTAAAACTAAGAACCAAGACAGAGGGGGAGAGAGATGCGTAAGTGCTAGAGGAGGATACGCAAGAGGGAGACAGACAGTGAGGAAGTGTGGGCTGACCTTTAGAGAGAGTAGCTAAGTCTAATTGTGTTTGAGAGCTGGGATAGGTAAGAGCGTTCAGCTCTTTGTTCAAAAGCTTCGTCTCTTCCGACACGTCGTCAAGGCCATCGTCTTGGACACTAGAAATGCCGATGGTTGCTGTCTGTGAGGTGGGTCTCTCATCGCTGACGTTGGTTTCAGGGTCACCGAAGCTGCTATCTTCGACGTTGCCTAGCATTGTTGCCTTCCAAAAGCAAACGGAATGTTGGTCATCGCGACAGGTGGTTACCAGGGAGCCGCGGGACCCTAAAGCACATGTGTCCGTTGCGCTATGCACACTCCGCTGACGATCGGCTGCATCGGCGAGGTGGCAGGGTAAAGAAAAAAGAAGCAGGAGTCATGCATTGACTTGAAGTTTCGAATCCGAAGAATTAGTTTAGAGGAAGAAGAAGGCAGTTGAGAATCTGGTGAAGATGCCTGGCGTACTGGCCCGTGGCACAGTCCGTCACTAGAGCAGCAAACAGTAGGACTGTCTTTAGAGGTGGTAATTGCCTTTGACTTATAATAATAACCTACTTTTACATTTTGCAGTAGTTCGCCTTTCCCTTTTTTCGTTAAATTTCGCCGATGTAGGGTCGAATTTCCCCTTTTCATTAATATCCGCCGACTACAGTAGTTTAAGTAGTGCGCCTCATATAGCGCTAGTTCCAGCATTTTGTCCCACGTAAACGGTAATTATAGGGATTTTATGAGTGGGGAATTAGGATAGGCAGTTGAGTATAATTTTATAACTGCTATATGCATTTTTATTTAATCATATTTAGAAATGTTGTTGATTTATATCTGTAGATTTTCCTACTCTGTATTATTGTAAGTATTGCAGAAAAACCCGATTACAAAAATGCAGGTTTCTTTAAATTCCCGAAAAAATAGAAATGGTGGTTAGGAGGTCGTCTATTTCAACTTAGCTTAGGTCGAACTTACCGTTCCTGAGTTAGGTCAATACAGTCCGCGGCGCGAAGCGCTGTGCATACCTTCAATTTACATGCGGAACAACTTACTCCCAGTGTCCACGGAAAACAAATTCAACTATATTTTTCCATTTTAAACTTACACCTACAGATATCGATCACTGCCTTCCCCATTTCCCCCTCTCCCAAACCCCTATAACCCCCTTTTCGTACGACAAAATACAGGGACTAGGAGTATATGAGATACACTACTTCAACTACCTTTGCCTGAGAAGAAGACGACTCGATCGCTGGGATAATACTTTTACTCGCCTGACGTTTCAATATCCATGGTGAAGAATTAGCATGTTCGCTTGTATTAGCTACCTTTGCCTATCCGCCGATGTAAGATCAAATTTTCATCAACAGACATCAGTTGCCTGAGCAACAGGAGTTTACATTGATGGAGTTAATTCCATTTAGCTCATTAAAACAACTATATGTGGCTTTAATTTAATATTCTTTGGTCACTTTTAACAAAATTACATATTCACTCACACTCGTTAACCAAGAATTGAATGATTAACCACCACTTC